AAGCTTTAGGTGTATGAATTGTAGTTTTCTTTACCCCAGAAAAGGCCCTTTATATTCAAAATTCTACACACTGTACCTTTAAATGATTTTTGTTTACAACTTTAATTTGTCATGTGTAAGTTAACATGGGCTCAACAGTACAATGAAAGTGTTGGATGAGAGGAACAGATCAGCTCAGCAATCGAAGCAATGGCATACAAAATATAAAATAAGCAGAAGGGAAAAACATAAATAGAATAGTAGTCTATATAAATCCGATCAAAACTTGCTACATGAATTGACTGCTTGTTGAAAGTTATTCCATCAGGGTGAGTTTGAGGTCCTCTCATATTTGTGTGGTAATTCTGTGATGTTGTAGTTTCAGTATTACACCCATAGAACATGCGCTGTAACCTTGGTGTGACCATAAAATGACTCAAGACCTACAAATAAATGTGCTTGTCCTTTAGAACGCTGTTACCCTACAGAATCAATTTATTTACAGTTGCATATCAAAGTGTTTTATTTGACCTGCAGCTCTTAATGTTAAATTACGCCAAGGACAGTACAGCCCATTATACTGGGGTATAATGCAGTATAATGGACTGTAGAAGTGTATCATAAAGCATCTCACTGGTGACCAACAGTCCCACTGTGGACTTTTCTCGACAAACAATGCATTTTAATTTAATTCCCATTCAGATATTTTCCAATAAATCTGACTTATGATTTACAATTCATCCACTTAACACATAAGTACTTAAAAGGGTTTGGTAATATATGTTTTATAGAAAATTACTTAATTTTGTGGTTTACATGTTGTAATAAGCTTTGCAATTTCATAAGTAGACAAGTATCATTTGCATAAAGCAGTAATCAAATGCTCCAAACATTGATGACCTTTCTTACCATCCAATCTCAAGCATGTAATTAATTACTACACGTGCAGCAAACAGGAAGCTCCCTTTAGTTTGTGTCCTGTTTGTCCCAGAGATCAAATTTCATCACGCCACTCGAATCAATGTCGGCCTTACTCTCTTCTCCTCCGTCACATTTCATTTTCAGCAATCACCTCAAGACGTTTGAACCATTAGGAACTAAGCGACCGTTCCTCAGGCGTTCAAGTAAGGTCGCACCCATCAGGAGAGACAAGCGTAGGGTATCTGAGAGGCAATTTTTAGAGGTTCTGATCTGAAATAAGTCATACTTTTCATTTCCTCGACAGGCCAGAGATGGATTGTGGACTTGTTTTTAGCAGGGTCACCTCATTTTCCATCTCCCGCGGCCTCCTGCCTCCTCTCACCTCTGATATTTCCCCCGCTCTATCGAGTGAGAGTCATTTTCCTCAGGAAAGTGTGTATGTGTTTGTGTTAAATCGGTGTCTGTGCAAGCACTGATGAGACACACACTGTCCTCGGCTGTCGGGTGAGAGCTTCCTGGGAGCCAAAACAGGGGACTGATTAGAATGCAGGAGCTGGCCAGCCGCTGTTTGGCCTCTTCCTCTGCTGCTTTGTCTCTGTCTGTGTCTGCCCACCCTATTTGTCTATTTGTCTCACACACACATACACACACACACACACACACACACACACACACACCAGCTGGTCTGTTTTGTGCTGTTTTGTTTCTCCTGTTCTCTCTCTGGTCCAAATGTCATTGACAGGAAAATAAGAAAAAAAATAAAAAAATAAATTGCATATTTCGTGTATAAATACAAAGCAGCAAAAACATGTTTCTGACCTGACTGCAAAGCTTGTTGCTCCTTTGACCTCAGAGGGAACACAAATTCTTCCCCACTTAACAAAAGGGTTGAGTATGGCACCAGTTCCTACACGGAAAACACCATAACAGACCACAACTCAAAATGTTTTTTAAAAGTGTATTATTTATGCAAGTTAACAACAACCAAGGAATATGAACATGAGGGTGTGTATGTTTCCCAACACAAGGAGTCTGCTCTGGGTTTTACCACGGATCTCCAAAAAACACAAATCAGAAACTTCAACAGAAATGTCATTGTCATGATGGAGTTAAAGACAACAGAGATTTATTTACTATATACAGTAGGTTCTAGGCACTCCCTGTAGCATCAATGGTCGGTCAGTTTGTCAGTCGGACATACAGCGTCTTCCTGTAACCCTGTCAAGGCCGGTAGCGCCAGAGAAAAAACCCAAGTGGTGACAACCTGCTGATTTAACATGCTCCCACAACGTAACCAGATTATCCTCTCCGACTCTCCGCTCCCCCATACACGCAATGACTCAAGCCATTAGCCACTTGCATATTGTTGGTTCAGAGTACGCAGGGCTGTGGTCTGGAGTTGTGATTGGATTATTGAATGATTGGTTGTGACTGTGGAAAACATGAATGAACTCTCTTATAGGTGATCTAACACTGGTCGCTGCAATTTATCACAGATTGGGAACCAGCCAATGACTTCTCATGCTTTCTTTATCGGGTAATAGCTTTACAAAGGCACTATGGCAGCACCTCCATAAACTATGAGATCAATATATATATATTGCTGAGATGTGCTGTGCAACACCACAGGTGTAAAGACTCAACATGAATCTCAGAAACAGAAGTGTCATGTAGTCTTGCCAAAAAGAGTTCAGGTATAGATTAAAATAAGGTTGGGGAATTTAATATGGATGGCAAAAGATCGGAGGACATTTTAAAATATGCATTGCAATGGAAATGGAGCCATCTCACTAGACTTCTTCGAGGAGGACACAGCAGGAGCACTGCCTTTGTGATCTGAACTCAATATTGAAGTCTGAGAAATCGATCAAGATTAGCTCAGTGAGGCCTGCCCTTCACGGGAGGCCATGTTCAATGTGGGACACTGCAGCCGAACAGAAATGAACATTTGGAAAGTGTTGCTCTCTATATTCTTCAACTATTCATTTCTGATGAATGGAGATATAATTGTTTTTTTTAAACTGCTGCCTTTCATATATACTCTGATTTTTAAGGTGATTCATTTGCATGTCATTTCATATTTTTCAAAAGTTAACGTTACACTTACAAGGCAAACATTGCTCTGCTGAAATCCAACTTTATCTGATTTGCTTCAAGGTTGTTTATTTATTGTTTTCCAACAATGGACTTCCTACATGACAGCTCAAAACTAGAATTAGAAGTATAGATACCTGCACCCTGAACAGATTCATTTATATCAAATTATGTAAATGTTGTTTTTCTGAAACAGATGCTTATGGTCTGCAAAAGGTACACAGGTGCAGGCAGCAGCAGCAGCAAATCATTTTTTCACACATTTCATGCAGATTATTTGTGACAGTAAAAAAAATCTGATCTATAATATCCCAAAAACTTTAGCCTGCTCTGACTTTTTGTTCCATCGAAACAGACAAATCTGGAAAGCTGGACTAAAATAACAAGCAAACACTACTTGAAGACAATTAATTTACCTAACATTGTTATTTTTTTGTGTCTATCATGCCAAATTTTAATGATACATGTCAATCACAAGTTTCTAGAAATTTGGTTAAAACTTAGATAAAAGATGAAACATTGAGGGTAAGAAATTGCGAAATCTTCCTTGCATTCAAAAGAATATACAGTAACCAGCAAATAAGTGGTTATTATTTGATTATTAAACCTGCCATTGATTTATTTTCAGTTGATTGAACAATGGATCCTTTCATACATGAACTCTTGTACCTGTCAGCCCCCCCAGGAATCACACTGAGAACAGCAGACATTTCCTCAGTCGAGCAGAACTTCTTTCTTTTTTTGTGTGTTTTCTTTGCGTGTGGTACCCAGATGTGCTGTGAGTCACTTTAACCTTTTCCAAGCACCTTGCCTTCACATAGCATTTAACCTCAAATATGACTGCTGGGTGTCTCCACTGACCTCACGGTAGAGGTTAGAGGCTTCTTGTTATCTGATAACACAGACACACACGCTCTCTCTCGCTCTCTCTCTCACACACACACACACACACACAC